CGATTTGAATCAAGCTGTAAAAATCGTTAATTTTATTAAAAGCCGAGCTTAAAGTTCAAGAATATTTACGATTTTATGCCCAAGAGATGGGCAATGAACATGAAACGCTTCTGTTACCTTCCGAAGAAAGGTGTTATCCAGGGACAAGGTTTTAAATCGTCAGAAACTCAAATTTTCCTCTGTGAATTAAAATTTGAATTGCAAAAATGTTTATTTAGCTACTTATCTAGTTTAGAAAGCATATTTAGCTAATATTTTTGGAAAGTTAAATTAATTCCTTTTATGATTAGAAGGACAAAGTATTAATTTGTTTAACATTAGAGATAAAATAAATGCAATAATAAAAAACTAGAATGGGATAATAATATTATAAGATTTTTACCACTTTTAGAAAGTTTTCTAACCGAAAATTATTTTAAAATAAAAGAAGAATCCGACATTAAAACTCATTGTTTTTCATTAATAAATAATTTCAACATATATTTTCCCAAGGATTATAAAAAAAGGAAATTGGATTAGAAATTCATTTTGTTCAAATGTACCTGAAATTCTATCTCATGAAGAAAATGAGTAACGATTGATAGAAATTTCCTATAATCCAACTCTAACTGAAGATTTCAAAAATAAGACACTTATTAAATTTTGGCTAAACCGAAAAAAAAAAAAAAAAAAAAAAAAGAATTTAAAGACATTTCAAATAAAGCTGTTAAATTTTTATTGCCTTTTTCCGCAACCTATTTGTATGAACAAGGATTTTCTTCCATGTTATATTTAAAAAATAAATACAGTGGATCCTAATTTACGGTAAAAACTAACTGAAATAATACCAGACAAAGAAATTGATCCCTTTTTAATAGGTTCAAATTTCACACTAAATTTTAGAATTAAAGTGTAACTTAAATTTTGATAATTAACTTGGCAACCAATTTTTAATCTAATATTTTTTATCTGTGCATATTTAATACGAAAAGCCAATAGGTTGTACAAATGGCAAAATATATTTTCTATTCAGTATGTCTACTGAGAAACCGAAAAACAATCACTGTAAAATGTAGTGGCAGTACTAAAGTTTCTCAATTTTTAAGTAGATGGTACGCGTTAGTCAAAAGATTGAGAACCGTTGATTTATAGTAAAAATGATATCGAAGACAAATATAATTATATGAATCATTCGTTTAATAATTACTTAAATATACATATTTTAATAAATTTTAAATGTTAAAGTTGCTTATACATTCCCACATACGTGTAGATATTTTACTTGTTATTAAAGATTAGGGTACCAATACACCGCCGACAATCTAATAGCATATTTTAGTGATGAAATATGTATATTTTCGACTTCAGCACATCAATGAAACAGGTTTTTTGATTTCCTCCAAGCATTTTTGTCTTCGATGACTTCTCATGAATCATTATCTAGGCTCCATTTTTGGGGGGCTGTATCAGCCGGTACTGGCTAATACACAAGTACCTAGTCTAAGCAATCTTGGATAGAAATGAACTGGACTAGATTATTAAATTTGGGTGAAATTTATCAAGGCTATCTGTTTAAGTTCCATCTCAGTTTCGTCCGAAGTCCCAAGAGAGATAAAGTGGTTTTCTTTGCCTAACTATCGGTGTCCGCCGATAACATCGCGGCAAAAACATCGTGGACGAAAACGTCGCAGAGAAAACAACGCAAGGCGAAAACGTCGCAGAGAAAACAACGCAAGGCGAAAACGTCGCGCTTCAAAACATCGTGGGAGAAAACATCGCAGTTCTAAAACATCGTGGTACAAAACATCGTCGTCGAAAATAAAGCGGTTCAAAAACTTCGCAGTTTAAAAACATCGTCGTCGAAAATATCGTGGTAAAAAATAAAGTATCTACAAATCATCGCGTGACGATAATATCGCAGACATGCTTTTTTCAGAATTTAATAATTGTAAATAGATATTCCCATAATAATTTGTGAGCGCAAGATAGAAATAAGGATAATTTGTTTTTCATATTTTATATTAACTAATAAATTTTTGCTGAGAAAATAAGAAGAAAACTTAAGCATAGAAAATTACTATGCTTAAGTAATGCAACTTATAGCACTTAATAGAATTTTAACACCGACATAGTTAACCAACAAAGACCATTAATAAATCATTTTTTATAATGTTTTTACTGGTAATTTTTCATAAAAATTATAATCTATAAGTTGCATTTAATTTTCTATGCTTATGCTTCCTTCTTACTTTTTCAGCAAAAATTTATTAGTTAATAAAAAAATGTGAAAGTAAAAATTATCCTTCTTTACATCTTGCGCTCACAAATTATTATGGGAATATCTATTTACAGTTATTAAAGCCTGACAAAAGCATGTCTGCGATGTTATCGTCATGCGATGATTTGTAGATACTTTATTTTTTACCACGATATTTTCGACGACGATGTTTTCAAACTGCGAAGTTTTTGAACCGCTTTATTTTCGACGACGATGTTTTGTACCACGATGTTTTAGAACTGCGATGTTTTCTCTTTGCGATGTTTTCTCCCACGATGTTTTGTAGCACGACGTTTTCGGCTTGCGTTGTTTTCTCTGCGACGTTTTCGTCCGCGATGTTTTTGCAGCGATGTTTTCGGCTGTAACCTAACTATCATACTGAACGATTTAAATAATTGTATTTATCAAGTTTTCAATATATTTTTGAAACATATTGAAATGTAACGAAGAAAAGGGCACAATCCTATTACTCTCAATGGAAATTTCTTCAGTATTAGTAACAAAAGCTAAACAGGAACATTTTACAATTCCGCCTTTCTTTCAGAATAGTCAATTTCTTTACAAAATAAAATTTTGTATATTTGTGACAATACTTACACATATTTCCTTAGCATATGTTATTGGTTATTACATTTCTTTTAGCACTGATATTAGACAATACCTGTTGACGTAGATGAAATGATGAAGAAAAAAAAAGTGCGTTATACGCTGTTCCTTTTCGGCATTGCAAAATAATTTGGAAAATTTACAGTGACTTTGGAAAACAGTTTACACTTAAACATTTAAATCATCCTATCTAGAATTATACAGGATGTTTCATAGATCATGGGACAAACTTGGAGGGGTGGTGGAGCGTACTAAAGCATGCATTGTTTGTACAGGAATGTAGGGTCTAAAGTGACGGATTAAGGCAGGAACGCAAAAAACGACACGAGAAGAAAATGTGTTTATGTACAAAATCTACGCAAAGTACTTCTTTGCAGCAATGCAGTATTCACAATAAATGTTCAAAAAAGGGAACACTAACAGTAATAGGAACTACAGCTGTGATTGGCTGGCAATGCAGCAGTAGAGGGCGGTAGTGAGCCGAACAAACCACGATCCGATGCATCAGAGGATCATTCGCAACTCTTGATGTCGAGCGTGATGGGTGAGTTTACGCACAGGGAAAAAGATGCCATGCATCTCATGTATGGTGCTGCTAATGGGAACGGCAGAGCAGCGCTATGGTTGTACCAGGAACGGTTTCCGAACAGGCATCTTGAACATTGTGCATGAATCACCTCAGACAAGTACAAGAGCTATTGCACGTCATCTGCAGCTGAGTCATTCCACCGTTTGGAGAGTACTGCATGAAAATGGTTTGCACTCATACCATTTGTAGAGAGTCCAAGCCTTGCAAGAGACAGATTACCCTTTTCGAGTTCATTTCTGTCATTGGTTCTTTCAACAGTGTGCGGCGCAGGCGGATTTCCCATCGGATGTGCTATTCACGGACAAGACAACTTTCTCACAGGACGGCATCTTCAATAGCCCCAACATGCATGTGTGGGCAACTCATAATCCGCACGGCACACGCCCACATGCATTCCAAATCCGCTTCTCCGTGAATGTGTGGGCGAGTATTGTTAACGACTACCTCATAAGCCCATACCTCTTACCTGCACGTACAAATGGCTTATGTTATCATATTTTTCTGCAAGAAGTGCTACCGGAATTGCTGCAGGATGTTCCGGCTGTCGTTCGTGATCGCATGTGGTTCCAGCATGATGGTGCACCAGCCCATAACCACGTGCGGGTCCGCAATTACTTTGATGGGACATTTCCGGGCCGATGGATTGGTCGTGGTGGACCCTTTCGATTGCCACCCCGTTCGCCAGATTTATCCAGCTTGGATTTTTTTTTATGGGGCCATCTGAAGAGCATCATTTACGAGACTACCGTTGACTCACTGGAGGACCTCGTTGCACGACTATCCATTGCGATTGCAAGCGTGCGCGAAATGCCTGTCGTTTTTTAAAATGTTCGTCAATCCCTTCTTCGACGTTACCAAGCATGTATTACTGCTGGTTGTCACAATTTTGAACATTTATTGTGAATACTGTATTGCTACAAAGAAGCACTTTGCGTTGATTTTGTACATAAACACATTTCTTCTCGGGTCGTTTTTTTGCGTTCCTGCCTTAACCCGTCACTTTAGACCCTACATTCCTATAACAACATGCATGTTTTAGTACGCTCCACCACCCCTCCAAGTTTGTCCCATGATCTATGAAACACCCTGTAGAAACTATTTGTACTGGGCATAGAGCCTTCCGTCAATCATAGTCTCTGCTTTGTATAAATCCTACAAGTAGCCGTGTAAATAAGACAGATGAATAATACTGCTAATTTGAATCTCGGCGAACAGGGTGGCTACATGGGTATTTTAAGTAAGTAATTCAGTCCTAACCTAAAACTACAAGTAATTTAAAAAAAATAACGTTGCTTTTTCTTTGGCCAATAAATAGAAATGGGATAAAATGCTATTTTTATTGAATAACAAGAAGAGCTGGCTGACTAACTTCTTAACTAAAGATAGCTTTAAGAAAAAATTTTAACTATGCACAGTTGTAAGTTACAATTAAATGATTTTAGCTGCTCACTTAGCCGATACATATAAGCTGCATATATGTTTGATATATATATATATTTAAATTTGTGCGAATTTATTTCATAATATCGTATTTATTTTTCATTACAGTGGTGAAAAGATACCCGAAGTGCAATACACAGAAGAGGAGATAAAAACTTGGTTTGTATTATAATATTTACTGTTCCAAATATACTATAACATTTACTGTTCTGAAATCAGATCACTGAATAATCGTTTTAAAAATTTACATTTAAAAAAATAAGCTTTATATTAATTTCAAGTTTACTAAATTATATGCAAATTCTAATCGCAAATGGAACAATTTCAGTTCACTGTTTGAAAGTTCCGTATGGTTCAAGGTTCTGAGTATTTAAACTGTTTTTAGACCGGAAAGTAATGTCGCTTTCTTAAATTAAATTCGAACGAATAAATTCGTAACAAGTTTTTACTTTTAATCAATAATATAATCACCCTCGTTATCAGCAACCTTTTGCCATCTAGTATGCCGATTTCAATCCCAGACCGATAAAAATCAATTGGTTTTTGAGTAAAATATCTCGAGATGGCATTTTGGACATCATCCAAATTTTCAAATTTTTTGTCACTAAGAAAATGTTGTAGGGATCGGAATAAATGGAAATCCGAGGGTGCGATATCGGGCGAATATGGTGGGTGAGGCAGTACCTCCCACCCCAATTCATTATATTTTTCCAGTGTTCGTCTTGCACAGTGCGGTCTTGGATTGTCGTGTTGCAGAATGACGCCTTTTCCGTTGACAAACGCCAGATATTTTTCGATTAAAGATTGGTTCATGTCATGACGTGATGACCACGCATGCGCAGTTTTAGCCCAACGGCCTGCAGCGCCTCTCTCTCATATGACTTACTAGAGAAGAGTAGCGAAGTAACGAAGGTAACATGTTATATGCCAGCGTGAATGAAAAAAAAAAAGTAGTTATATTTTTGTGTTAATCGTTTGTTCTTATTTGTGTTTGTGGGTTAATATAGTTTTTGTGCCGTTAAGATAGCTGTTTTATGTAATGCTCACATTTCGTGCGCTTTAAGGAAACCCATATCTATAACCCACCCAAGAAGCAGGGTATGACAGTTCACTAGATTCAATTGTTCACAATAAAGTTCTACATTAACAGTTTTTCCAGGTTTCAGCAATTCAAAATGAACTATTCCGCGAATACTCCATCAAACACCCAGAAGCGCCTTTTCGGGATGTAAACCCTTTGTAACCCCTATTAAAACTGCCTTTTGAGTTTTGGATTATCATATAGGACTTATTTTTTGTCTCCACGAATCAAAAGATCAAAAAACGTTGGTGCCATTGAAGCAATACGTTGCATGTGATGGATAGGTTGGCTTTGTTCTTTTCGGACAGATTATGGGGGACTTAAACTCCAGCGTTGCTTATTTTTCCATTTTGCTTTAAATGTTCTTGGATGGTCGACCAAGGTTGGTTAAGAGTGTTTGACATGAATTTGCTTTCACTTCTGCCCTTAGCATGTTGTTGTCGACATGCGCAGAAACGACATTACTTTCCGGTCCCCCCATTCTTTGTATTCAGACAAAAAAGACTTAGCCCGTCTGAGTGTATTAAACAGTTATTGTTTCTCTCTCCGCCACTCAAGTAAAAATGGAAGTCAGTTTTCCCTCCTTCAGAAGTCGCTCTCCAGAAAAAGGCATCCTTCTTAGGTCTACTTGCAATTTTATCTTCGATAACTCTACTAAATTTGAAAGACCCAATTTTGCCATTACGACAAAAGATGCTTATATTTCATATAAGCATCTTTTTCTCATTAAAGAAGTTCCGTATATGCAAAAGATGTTTCAGCAGATATCTCCAATATTTTACTTTTTTGATACATATGGACAAAATGGAACAAAGATTATTTCTTTCCTCGAAATGTCAACACGATCTCAATCTGTGAGCTTCTTCCGAACCACGACACTTTGTTTGAGAACGTTTATGTAAGCTCTATGTCCAGTACCTTGTAGTTTGAAAGTATTTTCCAAATTATTTACTTGATACATAATGAATTTAATACCCTATTGAGACTAGCATCAAAGAAGCAGCCTATGTAATCTGTCTTTTTATCCATCGCTGAGTGTGAAACAGATTTAAAGTTGGATAGAGTAAAAGACAGAGCACGGCAACGCATTTTTTTTTCCTTCGGTTATCTGGCGAAAGGGAAAAAAAGTATGTGGTGGAAAGGGGAAAATGTCTCGTATTCACTTTATTAAGCAGACTGTAAGGGGTTGTCCCGTCCTGATTTCTTGAAGGAATTTTGCAAGAAACCCAATTTCTTTGATTATGGCAAAGCACACGAAGGCTATTTGCCTAAGAGGATGATTTCCTAAGGGATAGTGGCTTGTATTCATGTTACACATGGGGAAAATTTACGGAAACTAAACTACAACCAGCTTGTTCTCCTGGGTCGAACCCAGGTCCAACTACTAACATTCAGCGGTCGTAACCACTTGGACACTGGTGCTGCACAGAAATACTAGTGTTCAGTGGTTTTAATTATTCGTATATTGCAAAGCACGCAATGGCTATCTGCCGAAGAGAAGGGATACCTGTGGAAAAAGTTATAAAAGAACTGTGTCATGCATGCTAACAGATGTGGAAAACTTCCATACTACAGTGGATGGATTAGCCTGGCCTCACAACAGTGTCTGACGAATCACCAGTCAAGAATGATTGTTGTACTTACTCTGATTTACTTTAACAAGACGGCATCATTACAATTCGCCGCCGAGCTAAACCAGTGTCTGCAAAAATAAAAATGTGTGCGAGTTACGAAAGCTTTGCCGCATCCCCCCCCCCTCCGGAAAACTCATGGAGGTAGGAAGTAAGATGGACTCGCCCTAAACAAGTTTCTCCGGTACCCTGCTCTGAAGCACCGGCGATCCCTACGTGGTGACCAAAACATTGGGTCATTTACCATTGAATTCAATGGGATTTGACGCGTTCGGATGTAAATATTTTGTAATTACGTCGTAAATATACATATAAATGTATATATTTTCTTTTTCTACAACACTTCAGATTCCTAAGTATGTGAAAACAACATATTTTTAAACAACATTTCATTCTGAACGGAATTAAATGCTATACTTTTCACAGGACAGTTTTCTCAGAATGGTTTAATTTGAATGAAATATTTTCGCAAGTTTTCGTTAATTACATTAGAAAAAAAAATAAGGTAATTCGATTTTATTCGGTTAAGGTACAAAAATTAAGATCAAAGTTTATTGTATTATTAATATTAAAATTATGCATTATTTTTTTCTATTTATAGAGCTTCTTCCTAAAATACTTTCTTAAATATGACATGATTAATTGGCTTCTGAGGCATCTTTTAAATCGAAAAATGTAAGTCAATTTATAATTAATGCTCTATTCGGTTCATTTTAAATTAGAGAATTATTAGGAATTAAATAATACTTAAAAAGAAAAAAAAAAAAAAAAAAAAAAACTTATTTTATTCCCTTTTAGAAATGTTCAGAGAAAGTCAAGTACTATTTAATACCTATTTAATTATTAGGAATTCTAATAATTAAATAGGTATTAAATAGTACTTGACTTTCTCTGAACATTTCTAAAAGGGAATAAAATAAGTTTTTTTTTTTTTTTTTTTTTTTTTTAGTATTATTTAAAACTTGTAACTGAGTTATTATAAAATGTAAAGGGAATAATTCTTTTAATTATACTTATCAGATTTTTTTTTCTTTACCCTTCATTTCAACAATACATATTCCAAAACTCTTTATTACGTTCTTAAGTGCGCATCTCATAGCATTTGCTTTACAATACCTTTTAACAGATTGCTTTCCAATACGAACAATTCTTGCTTAAATAGTTTTATAACGTATTTGTCAACAGGATTTCAATTTATGTTTACAATTCAATATTAAGGTTATTATATATTTAGATAGCATTTATAATCATTATAAATTAGATGCATTTAATAATTAGATTTCTTCACAGTACTTTCACAGTTGTTTATAAGTAAATAAATTCTTCATTTCAAATACATTTATAAATAATTTAATGAATATTTAAGTATTTTGTCAAAGTCAGATACGTGCCTTTTGCAAGCACATGCATAAATACCCATACATATTTCCTATTTTTCATTCCGTACATAATTTTACACAAATGTGTGGTTCCAAATCAAGGGAAAGCTAACTTGTTGGCATATCTGTGTGTATATTTATTAATTTTGACGAGGATTGCAGCATTTGATGGTAATTTTTTTTTAATTAACCCAAATAAGTAAAACGTGTAAGCCCAAAGTGGTTATTTTTCAGATATATAAAATTAAAACGATGGGTTTAAAATGAGCAGCAGTATAGCTTCCTCCTCTAAAAAATTTTAAAAGGTACATGTTACAATAATATATGAATGTGAAAAAAAATTGTTTTATTTAAAACATTTTGACGTTTGGAAAATAAAATAAAAGTATCGAATACTCTATCAAGGGTATCGGAAGACGTATACAATTTTAAATGTACCGTAAGGTATTTTTCATTCTTTAAGCATAACATTTTTCTTAAAATCTATATTTTTGTAGTGCAACAGCTTAGAATTTTATAAAATAAATTCATAATCAAAATGGCTGTTGTTAGTTATCGAAAAATAACCAAGATGTGATTTTTGCGTAAATGTCACTAAACTATACAAATTGCTATTATCCATCACACTATGAATGTTTCTTTCATGCGAAAGTGTCCCTTTTTCGATTTCTATGGAACTGTCGTGTGTCGAAATACTATCAGAATCTTGTCAAGCGAGCTTCTTAATGTAAACAAAGAACACCCCATCTGGTGACCCAAGCTTCAAAGCAGTGCTTCACTTTTAGCGCGGGTTGGCCCCTCCTCTCTTTCCTACCTCCATGCGAAAACTTTATCGCTCTTCCACTAACCCGAGTGGATCTTTTCTGCTGGAACACAGTAGTGAATTTTACAGTTATGGACATAAACTAATCTTTCATAGCATGTAAGAATCCGCAAGTGTGGAGCTGCCATTCATGTATAGTGGATTGAAATGAACTGTTTTTCTTATGGCAGAGCAGCCTCCGCATGAGCTATTTGCCTGAGGGAAAGGATGCCATCATGCAAAACGTTTTAAGAGAAACTGTCGTA